GTGCAGATTTGTGGACACAGACTTGTCATTAAAAAATTTTTTTAATGTATACTTATTTTGAGAGAGAGGCAGAGACAGAGCATGAGCAGGGGAGGAGCAGAGAGAGGGAGACACAGAATCCAAAGCAGACTCTGAGCTGTCAGCCAGAGCCCGACATGGGGCTCGAACCCACGAACCGTGAGATCATGACCTGAGCTGAAGTCGGAGGCTTAACTGATTGAGGCCACCCAGATGCCCCCAGATTTGTCATTTTAATTTATGAATCATGAAATGCCATGCAGACTTGGACAAGAATGAATATGTTATATAGGATCTTGGCATCCATGAAGAGATTGTCATTTTACTGACTCTCTCTTTACAAATGGAATGTCTTTGATTATGAGTGATGTGCCTTTTGCTGTCTGTAACATGCAGGTGGTAACTGGATGCTACGAAGGTGTGCTCTGTTGAGTATTGGTGAGCACTAGGGTAGAACTGGGTTACCTTGCCTTCCCGGGGTGGGGCTGGAACGCTTGCCTGGCTGTAACGCAGCACCTTCCTATCCAAGGAAACATGATTCACTCAGTAAGAGGATAAAACTGTCCTCTTTAGACGATGCTCCCTCCACAGCAGGCGCTTTCCCAAACCCTGGAGCCAAATTAGATTCTGGGGCAAGAGTTTCAGTGAGGAAGGAAATAATGGGTTTAGATTTCACTTTGGACTGGGTGCTGCATTGGTCCTGAGCCCCTTTGTTGAAGGGAGGTGGGGCTTAGGTGGGCCCAGGAGTTGTATCTTTGAGATGATGATTAAAGGCCCTCAGTGAAGTTAGGCTCAGATTTAGATGTACTTATATTATTGCTTTAAGCCATTTCAGATTTTCAACCAAGTTACTAGAAGCACTTTTTACCAAGTTGAATTTCTGTCCTCGGATAGCTAAACTCTTTTCCCTGAGCCAAATTAATAAAATGGAATTTCTTATTAGGAATGAATTATTAAGTAAAATGGAAGCACTGGGCTAGGGAAACATTTGATGCAATTTGTTTTCAAAGCCTTAAAAGTGCTGCAATCTGCACCGATCACAAAGACCAGCTTAAGTGCCAGAGCGTGGGGCATTAATTTTCTTTCGTCAAAGATTCCAGGTTCACAGGATATCAGAAGTGCTGACTTGGCAGTGAAATCCCATTTGTAACATGTTAGATTAGGAAACAGATTGATTTATACATTGATGTAATGGATCCAGGCACAGTGTGTGCTTAAGAAAATGGAAGTGCATTAAATAAGAGCATTTTCAAAGGAAAGAAGTAGAAACATCACAGAAAAAACCCCTATCCTATTATGCCCTAGGTAAGGTTGGGGTATGTTTGATTAGTTGATTCCTAGACATGGTCCACAGAGGCTTTTTATATTTCAGATGATACCTTCTTGAGAGTCTCTTATGACCACAAGGATTAATCTTTCTGAACTCAAAAGTGAATCACTGCAGCATATTAGTTGTCTGGAATGATTCCAGTTACTCTCCTTTTTCTTGGTGGTAACTGATGTGAGGGGCTGCTGCTGCTTAGGCCTCTTCCTGTTGCTTTAACCTCTGGTATTTTAGATTCTCTTTAGGGAAGGCAGTGCTGACCATCTCAGCACAAAGATCAAATGCACTCATCACTGATGTATTGACCTTAGTGGTTGACCCATAAACTGAACATTTATACAGTTGGAACTCTTGTGGTCTTTTAGCCAACAACCATAATGAGTAACATGTGGAACATAATCTTTGGTGCTGATAAATGGCTGCCTGCACAGTTTTGACCAATCCATGTCTGTGGCTTGGGTGAGTTCACGTAACTAATCGACACTTTCTTACCTGAATTCATGTGTGGAATTTAAGAGGTTAATGCCCCGCCCTCTGCCCCCAGTACTTCTATGGCACCCAAAATCCTGTTTGTTTAATAGCTGCTTTTAATGTTAAAATATACAAGGCCAGGGGCTCCTGGCGGGGTCAGTCAGTGGTGCAGGAGACGCTTGATCCTTGGGGTTGTGGGTTCGAGCCCCATGCTGGGTGCAGAAATTACTTAAAAATAAAATCTTAAAAAAAAATTATGCAAAGCCAAAGAGAATTTATGCATTCTTGCTCAACATTTTTTAGATTTAGCTGTGGTGGTTCAATTATAGCAGGTTTAGGAAACACTTTCCTTTTGACCTATTGATTTGGCTTTCTTGCTTATATATTTATCATTCTTCCTCAATTTTCTTTCTGTCTGGGCTTTGAAGTAGGAAGGAAAGAACTTAGGGAAACTCTGGTTTGGGGAGATAAAAGTGTCCCTGGGGTTTCTTTGCCTCTGTCTCTGTATTAACCCTTTTATATGTGTACATACCCATCTTCTTCCATGTCGTGATCTAAAATTCTAGCCTTAATCCTTAGATATGGCTCTCAAAAGAAGAACGGCCCATAGAAGAGGCATTTTGGTACACATATTGAACTCACTGTGAGAAATAAACACATTGGTCTTATACATCCTTACACCTTTTAGTGATTGGTTTGAATTAAAATACCATTAGAGTATTGCCTATAAATAAGTGTGTGTTCCTTTCCACAGCTATCCTGAAATATTCTTTCTTCTTCTTAGCCTGTAGTTTCATATGTGGCAGGTATATATAGATCTGCCTTGTACTTTAATAAATGATTATTTGTCACAGTAGGGCTATAATCAATTCTGTTTAATAAAGTTGCTAATTGTTCTCTTCATTGGATTTAATTGAGGTTTTTTTTCAACTTTGATTGATGTTGGCAATATTTTCATCCCAAATTAGTGTTCTCCTAGCTATCCAACAAGTGTTTGTGTTTCATTCTCCTGTACTGGTAGAAAGTGGGCTTATTTTAATAAGCTTGTAAGCAAAATATATGGAGGATGGTAAACTTTTCCTGGAGAAAGGTCATGATGTATTTGAAAATCAAATGTAGTCTCCTGATTGGAAGGGCCATTAATGTCTTTGTAGTCCATCAGCACAAATAAATGAAAGTTGCTTAGAAAGCACACATTTTCCATATATTATGAAAGGCAAAGCTACCCTTTCTGTTAATAGGAAAACCATTTTATGTTAATTGCTCTTTTTAAAAAGAGCAACATGATAGACCATACAATCTTAACCCTATCTGCCAAGTTTTAACACTTAAAAAAATTTTTTTTTTTTTTTTAAATTTTGAAAGTACTTTTACATTAGGGGAGACCACAAAACTGCATTGTGGATACAACCATCAATATTAGCATATTTCTAGATGCTAGGATCCCTGGGGTTTTCCTGCACCAGGAGACTTAGTAGAAGCCTTAACTGTCATCATGCCTAAAGTTATTTCTCACCTGTAATTTGTGAGCTGGTAATGGCTGTGATGTTTTCACAAAGAGGATATAAGACAAAGGAAGACTGTAGAGTCATTGATTGTTTTATCTAATACAAGATAAAATTGTTCATGAAATCCCTTTCAGTGTTCTGTTTCTGTGAATGATGCCATTCCCTCATTGAGTAATGAAGCCATGCTTGACATCTTCCTCGACTCCCTGGCTAATCTGTCACCAAGGCTTGCCAGTCGGGCTGTCTGATACCTTGAATCTGTTTCTCCACTGCACTGCCTTAGCCCAAGGTACCAGTCTCCCTCCCTGTCTTTCTCTTTCTCCAAATTTCCTTGCCATCCTGCAGCCAGAAAAAGTATCACAGCTGCATTCTGACAGTATTAACTTTGTGCTTGAAACCTCTCAGCATCTCGGGGCACCTGGATGGCTCAGTCGGTTAAGCATCCAACTCTCGGGTTTTGGCTCGGGTCACGATCTCATGGTTCATGATTTAGAGCCTTACATCAAGCTCTGTGCTAACAGCGCAGAGCCTGCTTGGGATTCTTTGTCTCCCTCTCTCTGTGTCTAATCCCTGCTCATGGTCACTCACTCCTGCTCTCTCTCTCTCAAAATAAAGAAAGCAGGGGCACCTGGTTGGCCCAGTTGGTTAAGTGTCCGACTTCAACTCAGGTCATGATCTCTCGGTTTGTGAGTTTGAGTCCCGCATTGGGCTCTGTGTTGACAGCTCAGAGCCTGGAGCTGCTTCAGATTCTGTATCTCCCCGTCTCTTCGGTCTCTCCCATGCTCATGTTCTGTCTCTGTCTCTCAATTGTAAATAAATGCTAAAAAATTTTAAAAAAAATAGAAAAATAAAGAAAGCAAAAAAACAAAACAAAAACTCTCAGCACCTCAGGATAAAGATGGAAGTCCTTTCTTGGTGTGCACACTGTCTAGCCTTGCCCCCGCATGCCTCTCCTCCCTTCTCTCACTGCTGTCTGCCTCCAGTCTACGTTCCCACCACGTGATGCTCTCAAGTGCTGCTGTCTTCAGGAGACTTCCCTGACCACCTCCATACCCAAGCCTCAGTTAAATTCCTTTCTGTACGCTGTTTGGCACTGTGTTCTTTCCCTTGGTGCGACATCTAGGAGTGTGATCACACTTTTGTATGTGTGAATATGGACTCTTGCACTAAACTGTAAGCCCCATGAGAGCAGGGACCATAAGTTTTTGCTCACTCTTGTGTCCTAGGCATTTAGCATGTTGCTTTGCAAGATAGTAGCTGCTCAACAAAATTTTGTTGTGTGAGTGAATTACTGGAACTTTAGCCTTTACTATAGTGGTTTAATCTGTTAAGGGATGAAAAGTGAGACGTGTGCTTCTATTAGAGCAGTCTTCAGCTGGATTATAGGTTCCCAAGTTCCGAAGTACTCAGATGGGGAGTGAGGGTTAGATTTTTTTCCATTGACATTTTTCTTTGATCATGTAAGTCCAACAATGATTGTTTTTTCTGGCCTAACTCCTGGGGAAAGGCTTTGTTTATGAAGATAAAAATAGTAAATAATGAAGTTTTAAAAGATCAGTTCTACTGTCACAAACCATGGGATGACTCTACCTTTGTGTCAGCTGTTTTGGAGTAAACCTGGATGTTTTCCCCTTTGGCAGGCTCTTGCAGCCAACGCCGGAACAGGATTTGCTGTCGCCGAGCCTCAAATTGCAATGTTTTGTGGGAAGTTAAATATGCATGTGAACATTCAGACTGGGAAATGGGAACCTGACCCAACAGGCACCAAGAGCTGCTTTGGAACAAAAGAAGAAGTTCTTCAGTACTGTCAGGAGGTAAGAGTGGTGCCAGAATGTGAAAACTGCTCTTTTCTGGGTCATGCTTGAAACTGCTTACCTTAGAAATAGATACTCTGTCATTCTGCTTTTTGACCTAAGATCACATTGCCAATGACAGAACACCAGGCGTTTTCTTTCTGAATATATACGACACGACTGAGGCTTGTCAGAGGCTCTGCCTGTGTGCGCTGTGAGCTCTTGGTTCCTTGAGGAGGGAACGGTGCAGAAGCTGGGCAGGTCCCGTACAAGTAAAGCCCGGCTCTCTTGCTTCTCACTTGCAGTGTGGGAGGACGTGAAGTCAAATGTGTGTATCTTGTGCTCTCCACTTGCTCATAGAAAGCCACCAGTATTGTAAATGATAATCTCAGGTCTGACTTGAGTCAGAACTTGACCTAGAAGGGGCTGTGAGATGCTTTAACTTCTTACCAGGACTAGCACAGAGGGCCAGCATTGAAGCATTACTCTATAATCTCACCAACAGACCTTTCCATGGACTTGCCCTTTAAATGTTTTTCTTAGCTCTTTACATGCATCCTACAAATGGGCTTGATACCTCATCGATTTATTTTGGGCTTGAAAGCTTGCTGCTTTTGTATGTCCTTAAAAAAGATGACTTTTTTTTTTTTTTTTTAAAGAGAATGCATTAGAAGTGATCAGAAATCTACCTGTCAAAAGAAAACTAATAGTTACAGTATCTTTTGACTTGCTGAGTTCTTCAGTTAGAACCAGGGGCAGCACGAGTGGAGGCTTAGATTTATACAGGATAATGATGACGCTGAGTAGCAGACACCCTTACTTGCAAATGAATGTCCATTTATTATGGATAAAGTCAATTTATTGTGTGTGTTTTCTTTTCCCTTGCAGATGTATCCAGAGCTACAGATCACAAATGTGATGGAAGCAAATGAGCCGGTCAGTGTTGACAATTGGTGCCGGAGGGACAAAAAGCAGTGCAAGAGTCACATCGTGATACCTTTCAAGTGTCTTGGTGAGTGTCCTTTAGATGATCGTGGTTGCTTCTTGGGAAGTAGAGGTTGCTTATTTTTAAATTTGATTTTCTCTGGCCTCACAGTGAAATAGCTACATCTGTTAAGAAGCTGAGGGCTACAGGAATGTATTGGGGGACTTCTTTTTTGAATATTTATTGCCTTCTAGTGTTGATGGTTGACTTGTCTTTGGTGGTTATTACCTCCCCCACCATGGGCACTCTCAGTCTTTTAAGGATGAGCCTTTTGCATGGCACTGAGAGTGTTGCCCTCAGGGCCTCCCAGCTTTGCCTTGCAGTGAGTGCTTGAAACTCCTGCTGTATAATCATAGCAGGAGTGGTACTGAACAGCCCAAGGGATGGAGTCTTCTGTTCCTCTCACTTCACCCTGTACATATTTTGCAAGGTCCTAAGATCCTGTATTGCTAGGCAGGCCGGACTTGTGGTAGTCTCCGAGAGACGTGACCCCTAGCTGTCTATGCACCCCTGCCTTTCTGAAGGGCCCGTGACTGGTACAGGTGTTTCTGACCTTGTGTTGGTGTTGATACATTCTCACATGTATCCAAATCAACCAAAGGAGGAGTTGGCACCTTAATGACCGTGTTTATGCAGCAATTACTGTTGTCAAGTATCCAGTAGGGAGAAAGGGGGGCATTGCGGGTGCTCGACACCATTTACTTTACAGTGGAGCATCATGCAGTGGGGTGAGGCCTTGGAAGCCTTGTGCGTGGTGTAGCTGAGAGATGTTCTTCCAATCCATTTGGCCCCGAGATCTCTGGGTATGAGGTTTCATTCACTGCCTGTCAAATCCTGGAACTAAATGAAGCAAGAGTGTAGTTTTGAATATTTGTAGTCAGTAGGTAGGCAGTACTTGCATTTGTTTCTTCCTTTTGCACCATTACCCCTGAAGACTTTGCAGCCTGGTCTTCCCCTTGCTACGTGTCTTTATGACTTGCTGGCTCCAGTCCTCACCCAGAACTCTGAGTTGAGACCTGAGAGACCTTTATCTCCCTACATCCAGTCAGCTTTCCAAGCCTCATTCTTACCCCTTCAATACGGCTTCAGTCTGTGGTTCCCAAACTGTGCACTGAGGCACCCCAGGGCGTTGCAGCAGACTCACACAGTGTGGAGCATTGTGGGATAGTTTTGGTTTTTCAAAGGAGACCTCTTTCAGACATCCCATGAACTGGAGGTATTTACAGTATCAACATCCTGTCAGTCCATTCCTTTCAGTGACCTCCTATCTTTATAGAGCGTTGTCTCAGGGGTTCCTGTGTTAAAGAGCCAGCATCACAGCAGAATAACCTGGGAAGAAGAGATGAGGGTGACGGTGTCCAGTCGATTGTAACATTGGAAGAGTCGTTCAGCGTCCGGCATGCGCTAAGGGGTTAGGACACGAGGACTTACTATGTTGTTGGACCCAGCTACCTAGCTTTGGGTATTCTTTTGGCCTTGAAGTGCTGTGAAAATATTACTGAGACACTCGGGGTGCTGCTACTTTAAAGTTGGGACACATCTGGCTTATAATCCTTTTCTTCCTTCTGATTCCTGCTGCGTTAGTTCAGCCCTTCATCCTTTGCCACCTGGACTGGGACAACAGCCTCGTGTGCTTCTCAGTTCTGTTGTCTGGTCTGCTGCCCTCTGACCTAAAATGAAGATTGAGTTGTCTTTCCCGCACATCAAAGCCTGTAGTAGCTCTTCCTCACATAAAAACTAAGGTTTCATTAAGCTGCCCTGCTTAGCGTAAAAACTCCATAATGTGGCTCTTGCTTTGGCCTTCCCTGTTGTCTGCTCTGTGAGCCACCCAGCAACATCGACATCTTGCAGCTCCTGCACCCACTGTCCAGGTCTCATTGTTGGGATGCCTTTCCTCTACTTCCCCTGCTAGGGGGGTTCTTCCTTCAAGACTTATTTCAGGGGCTGCTTCCCTTAAAGAAATCTTTTCCTCCTGGTTATGTTTTCTCTCCAGATTTCTGAAAGTCTCCCAATGTTGCCATTGCATCTATCTCCCTATCCAGTGACGATCTGTTTCTGTATCTTTCTCCAACTTCGCTGTAAGCACAGTGAAACCACGGACCCTGCTTTATTTAGTCTTCTCTGTCCTCCAGTACCGTGACAATGTCTAGAACATAGGATACACTTTAAAAAAAAAAAAAAGTTTGTTTTTGAGAGAGAAAGGGAGAGGAAGAGAGCATGAGTCGGGGAGGGGTAGAGAGCAAGGGACACACAGAATCCCAAGCAGGCTTCCTGCTGCCAGCACAGAGCCCAATGTGGGGCTCAAACCCACAAAACCGTGAAATCATGACCTGAGCCAAAATCAAGAGTCAGATGCTTAACCAACTGAGCCACCCACGTGCCCTTCCATAGACTCCTTAGAAAGCATTTTGGTGATAGTCTTTTAGAGTTGCTTTTGCCTTTTAAAATTAAAAATAATTTAGGGGCACCTGGGTCGCTCAGGTGGGTAAGTGTCTAACTTCAGCTCGGGCCATGATCTCACAGCTCAAGCCCCACATCGGGCTGTCTGCTGTCCGCACAGAGACCACTTTGGGTCCTCCGTCCTCTGTCCCCCTCTGCCCCTACCCTGCTTGACCCATGCTCCCTCCCTCCCCCCGCTTCTCTCAAAAAAATAAACAAAAAAAAAGGTAGTTTTAAAATAGTTTCAAGTTTACAAAATGGTTAGAACAATAGTACAAAGAGTTCCTGTACACTCTTTCCTCAGATTTCAGATTTTCCACCTGTACCATTTGACTAATATGGTAAAATTAACCTTATTCACTCCCATAGTACCCCCAACCCTTGTCCCCCCCATTACTGAGTTTTTGTGTTTTGAATCATTTAAGTTGGTGTCTTTTTATCCCTTAGTACTTTAATATAGATTTTTTAGAAACAAGGACATTCTTCTATATGATCACATCATCAAAATTGGGAAACTATTATTGATCCAAATCTAATCTGTAGACCCTGTTCAGTTTTCACCTTTTGTTCCAATAATACCGGGATCTGATTCAAGATCACACATTGTATTTAGTCTCTTCTCGTCTTTCATGACCTTGACTTTTTTAAAGAGTACAAATTACTTTGTGGAAATGCCTTGCAATTCGGGTTTGTCTTATGACCTTTTGATTTACATTTTTGAGGGGACTACCGTAGATATATTCTTCTTGCAGCATAACATTAGGAGTTGCACGATGTCAGTTCCATTACCCATGATAATGTTTATCCCCTGGCTAAGATGGTGTTGGCATTCACTTATTTCCTTAAGCACTTGTCCAGATTTGACAAAAAGATGCTCTAGGCTGATCCTGTGTTTTCCTGACTCTACCCCTGGAATCTGCCATTTCTCCAGGAAGCCCTGGTTTCTTTCAGTGGAGAATGGTGTTTAGAAACCAAGTCTGGGCATTATGTGTACTTACTGGTCTGGGATGTTGTTGCTTCTAGGCCCACTCGGACAGAGCCAGGAAACACACGTTGGGGTGCCTAGGTGGTTCAGTCAGTTAAGCATCCGACTCTTGGTTTTGGCTCAGGTCACAGTTTGAGCACAAAGTCTTCTTGGTATTCTCTTTCTCCCTCCCCCACGCCCACCCCGTCCTTCTCCCACTTGCACTGTCTGTATCTCTCTCAAATAAATAAAACTTAAAAAAATACATGCATGTATATATGAGTACATGCACACATAAATATATATTTCTATAGCTACATGTATATATTAAAAACATTAGCTCATACTGATGTCTTTCAGTTCCATTATCCTCACTATATTTATTTACTTACTCAGTATCTTCTGTAAATGATCAGTCTCCACTTTTTAAATTTATTTAAATTTTTGTAATGTTTATTTTTGACAGAGAGAGAGAGACAGAGTATGAGTGGGGGAGGGGCAGAGAGAGAGAGGGAGACACAGAATCTGAAGCAGGCTCCAGGCTCGGAGCTGTCAGCACAGAGCCCGACGTGGGGCTCAAACTTACCGCGAGATCATGACCTGAGCTGAACGAAGTCAGACGCTCAACCGACTGAGCCACCCAGGCGCCCCTAAATTTTTTTTATTTTAGAGAGGGAGAAAGAGAGAGTGGGAGAGAGGAGCAAATGGGAAGAGGAAGAGAGAAAATCTCAGACAGGCTTCATGCTGAGTGCAGAGCTCAACACGGGGCCTGATCCCTTGACCCTAAGATCATGACCTGAGCCAAAATCAAGAGTCAGACGCTCAAGCAGTTGTGTCACTCAGGTGCCCCAACCTCTGCTTTTGTAATTTAAGTTTAACTTTTTAAGCCTTTAAAGTTTATTTATTTGAGAGGGAGAGAGACAGAGAATCCCAAGCAGGCTGTGCACTGTCAGCATGAAGCCCAACTTGGGGCTTATCACACAAACTGGGAGAGCATAACCTGAGTTGAAACCAAGAGCTGGATGCTTAACTGACTGAGCCACCCCAAGTGCCCATACTTTTTTTTATTTTTTTTTGAACGAGCTTGTTGAGATATAATTCATACTCTGTGTAATTCACCCATTTAAAAGTATACAGTTTAATGATTTATAGTATATTCAGTGAGTTATACAACCACACACAATTCTTTTAACGTACAAACTGTACTAAAAATGGACACAGTTAAAAGTAAGAGTTCTGTGCATTTTATTCACCAGAAGTAACCACAGTAGCTGCCTTTGTACGTGTTAAGATGAATACCACATGTTGGAGTAAAGTGATGTAGTAGTATGGTTAGCCTCAGCCCTAGGACCCCCCTTTAAGATAATATTGCCTAATGGGGCTCCTGGTCGGCTCCATCAGTGGAGCATGCAACTGTTGACCTCAGAGTTGTGGGCTCAAGCCCCACAGTGGGCACAGAGCTTACTTAAGAAAAGAAAAACAACATAGTACTGCCTAGTAAACCTAAATCGTAGGTAGATAGACCAAAAGGTGTGGAAATGGAAACTGGGAACAGGATTTGTCTATAGTGGTTGGGTTGCCTGTGTGAATTGGCTTGAATATTCCAGTGTCCTTACCTGTGTCC